AGAGAGAGAGAGAGAGAGAGAGAGAGAGAGAGAGAGAGAGAGAGAGATTAAAATGAATAAAACTTAAAGAGATTTTATGAAGGTCACCTAGTTATATGTATATCCTTTGACTAATAAGATCATATTAGAACAACCTGAGAACTTGACTAAGTAGAGGTAGAAACTCAAAGAAAATCCTTAGCATGCAGGAGGCTGGGAGCAGACTTATTTATGGCATGAATGAGAAAGTGGAGGGATGGAAACTCAGAGCCTGTGGAATCCTTGGTAACCATGTTCCTTCTTCCTCAGTTGGTGGCCGTGTAGACTTTGAAGACTTTGTAGAACTGATGACACCCAAATTGCTTGCAGAGACAGCAGGGATGATCGGTGTCCAGGAGATGCGAGATGCCTTCAAGGAGGTGAATTAATAACTCCATAATACTGAGTGATGGGCAAGGGAGACATCAAGTTTTATTAGTCTACACAATAGACAGTGCCCACCAAAATCAACTAGTTGTGTGTGATTAGGTACAAGGAAAATAACATATTCTAAACATTTGGCAATATGTATTCATGTGACTTGACTTTCACATACAATATTAGGAGTAAACACAATTCTTATCATACATATGAAGAAACTGAGGCTCTAAGATCACAGATGATATCCAATACCCTCTGTTTCCCCAGGGTGGGGCCTCTTGGTTCCTTCAATAGGAAGGAAGAATCTAAGAGTTTGCTATTTTTAGATGGGCAGAGCTGTTCTATGGAAGCACATTCTAGGACAGGAAACATGTTCTAGGGCAGAGATTATGTAATAGGAAAATGTTTGTGGAAGGGAGCCAAGACCAAGTGATGGACATAATAAAAAACAAACAAGGTCTCCAGGATGTGAGGGCAGTGTTCAGTGGTAGAGCCTCTGCCTAGAATCTTCCAGTGTGGGTCTGGGGCATAGTTCAGTGATAGAGCACTTGTTTCAAATCCCCCAGTGAGGGGCTGGGGACATGGCTCAGTGGTAGAGCACCTGCCTAGAATCCCCTAGTGAGGGACTGTGGGTGTGGCTCAGTGGTAGAGTCCCTGCGTAGAATTTCCTAGTGAGAGGTTGGGGCATGGATAAGTGGCAGAGCCTCTGCCTAGGATCCCCTAATGAGGGGCTAGGGTGTGTAGTTTCCACTAGAACATTGCTTTAGTGTGTGCAAGGCCTTGGTCCCTCTTTAGCTTTCATTTCATATGTTATTCTGTTATCTTCTTTCCCCTCTTTGCTCCTCCCTTAATATATCTTCTTCCCCTCTTATTGTCTGCTTTCTAGCTTCATTTCCTACATATGCCTACACATCTATTCTCAAATTTGAATTTAGGTGCAATATATGGCAGAGAATATCTGGCTTTTGTCTTTCTGAATCTGGTTTGTTTAACACAATGATTTTCAGTACCATCCATCTTCTTACAAATGTCATGATTAAATTTTCCTTTATGGCTGAATAAAATCAGAAAGAAATTAAATGTTTATGATGATATAATACTTCCAGTGACATAGGATAATATTAAAAGTCTGATGACCCAAGTTCAATCCTCAGAACTCACACAGTGGGTTCTACAAGTTGTTATCCAATCTTTATGGTGCATCATGGAATGTGTGTACCCACATGTGTACACACACATAAACAAAAAAAAATAAATGTAATAATTTGTTTAAAGACATGGAAAGCAAACAGAAGTTCCTGGCTGTCCAAACTCATCTAGTTGAATGCATATATATGTATATGTGCATTACATATGTACATATGTAATGTATATATATGCACATATATATATATATGTGTGTGTGTGTGTAATTTGTATATAAATGACACCCCAATAAATATATTTAAAATAATGTATATTACATTTAAAAGAATAATGTCAATGAACCAACATTCCAGTAGGTGATATATCCTAAGTGCTTAGCTTAGTTCTTGGCTTCCAGTAAGTGACTAGAACCCTGACCTTCCTCAAAGACATCCTCTCCAGTGAAGCTGATCTAGCCTCATTGTTTCTGTTTAGTTTGATGCCAATGGAGATGGGGAGATTACACTGGCAGAGCTGCAGCAGGCCATGCAGAGGCTGCTGGGAGAGAAGCTCACACCCCGGGAGATTGCTGAGGTGGTACAGGAGGCTGATATCAATGGAGATGGCACTGTTGACTTTGAAGGTAATACTTTGGGCAGAAATCCAGGAATCTACACCTGTCACTTCTCTATGTGGTTCTCTAGGTCATCCATTCTTTAATCTTCTCCAAGTTCTCATTTGAAGGTGTGTTCTAATTTCCTGTGTGTTGCTGTGATAAAACAGTGCACTCACTGGCCTTTGCTCAGCTAGCTTTCTATTGTAGCTCAGAACCACTTGTCCAGGGAATGGTGTTGCCCATGGTAGACTGGGGCCTCCTATACCAATTAGTAACCAAACAATGCCCCACAGATATGCCCACAGGCCAGTATGATTCTGGTAGTTCTTCAGTTGAGGTCTTCTCTTTCCAGACAACTCTAGGTTATGTCAATTTGATAATAACTATGAACTAGTACTCTGTGGGATCATATCTGAGAGAGGCATATGTTGGCTATGTCAAGTTTAAATTGTGATATTCTCTGATTTAAAGTACTCAGCATATAGCTATTCCCTTCAGGCAAGGTCAAAATCTATAGTCTGTTTTTCAAGTCGATGACTCTTCAGCCTATCCAGTCTTTTGCAACTATGATGTGAATTGGTATGCTCTGGGGGAACATGCTTCGTATTCTGCATCCTTGAACTTCTCTTCCTTTGTAGCTTATGTCCTGCCCTCTTGTTGCACTTATAAGACTTATGCATCCTTCAAGGACACAAGATAATCCCCCTTTGTGAAGGATCTCCCCTCTCCCTTACCTGAATGCATTAAGCCTGACTGTGAGCCTTACAGGAGTTTTTGTTCTTTTCCAGGGAACATATCTTGTGTTTATTTCCATGCTGCAGGACAGCTGAGGCTTTCTCTCCCACCCCTCCCTCTCTCTGGTGTTTGTGTGTGATGTTAATGGACAGTGTGTGTCTGTGAAAGAGAGAGAGGGGCGGGGTGCACACTCACGGAATTCAGAAGAGGGTATTGGGTATCCTGATCAATTGCTTTCCACTGTATTCCTCTCAGACAGAAGCTCTCTCTGAACCTGAAGCCAGGCTGGTAGTTTGCAAGCCCCAGCAATTATCCTTTTTCCACCTCCTACAGCACTATGGTTACAGGTTCACAATGGGATTTTTAGGTCATTACCAGAGATGCAAAGTGAGTTCCTCCTGCTTTTGCAGCACTGATCCAGCTCCCCAGTCATTTTGAGGGGGAGTTGGAAACCATATCTGTTCTACAGGTCCTCAAGTGGAAACTTAGTGAATGTGTTGGGCACCTGCTGGATCTTATCGGTCTCAGATGTACAATGTGTATCACTGAAAGTAGGGAAAAATGGAGGTTAGGCTATCAGATAGAACTTTAGGCTAACTGTAGACAAGAGAAGAATAGGATGACCTCAAGACACAGTGGAGCCAGCAAGTTCATCTGGAATTAAGTCTAAACAAAGTAATGGGCAACCTGTTCCTTGCAGGGTTTTCTATTTACTGTCCACTTTATCTCAAACAGGCCAGTTTCCCTTACTAGGCTCTTTTACTTTTGTAGAATGGCACTCTTCTAGGAGAACTGAAAAATAGAACAAAAGCTAGAAATATAGCTCTGTAGGCAAGAGCATTTGCTGCCCAAGTATGGGGACCTGTGTCTGGATGGCTAGTACCCAGGATCCTATGCCTATAACTGGTTGTAGGTAGGGCTGGAGAGCAGAAGTTCACTGCAGTTCCCTGGCCACCAGCCTAACAAAAAATTGGTGAGAAGAGTCTGGAGAGATGTGTCAGTAGTTCAGAGTGTTGGCTGCTTTTTTAGAGGTTGCATCACCCACAGAGGTTCACAACTCCAATTCCAGGAGATCCAAGATCCTTTTTCCTATCACTGGACACTGCATGCATATGGTACACAGGCATACATTCAGGCAAAATACAAATACACATTAAAACAACAGCAACAACTAGTAAAGCCCCAGGTTCAGTGAGAGACCCATTCTCAAGTGAATAAAATAAGGAGGATTAGTGGACACTGGGTATCATCCTCTGCCCTTCACATGCATGCACAGGTGCACATGCATTCATATAACAAATGTACATACATTCATATAACAAAACATACATAGACACAAATGAAATAAAGTACTAATAATTCCTGTTTATAAAGTCTTAGTGTGTTTTATGAACACTGTGTCATACAGAGTCCAAGGTATTTTTTAAAGATTAATGTCATGGCCTGCAACATAGGAGAAGCTCCCCTTAAGTAACTCAGTTGCCTCATGGAGGAGCCTCACAGGAGTTTTTTTTTCTTTCTTCAGAGTTTGTGAAGATGATGTCTCGTTGAAGAGGTAATAGGAGCTCCAGACACATGCTGCCTTGTTAACATGGCTGAACATTTGTAGAGCACTGGATGCCTGAAATACCTTAAAGGATGGAGGGTGGGAGTGGACTTGTCACTGTATGGACTGGGATGCAACTGCAAACAGTTGCTTTGCTTCTTAGGAGCAGAGGCAAATTTAGAAGAAAGAATCTATGTATATGAATCTGAAGCATACTAGGATCTAGTGCCATTAAAACATTCCAGAGGCTATGGCATCATTTCCTAATCTGTTTCCCACCAGATTCTCTTTCCATGACTCCCTTGGTTAAAAGATAGTGTGGGAACTTTTTCACATTCTAAAAGAAAAAAAAGAAAGCCTTTCAAAAAGTTACACATATAGCTTACCTTTTCCCCAGCTACTCATTTTCAACAATGACTTCATTTTCTTCTTGTAGTAAGAGAGTGTTCCACCAGTCAAAGGGTTATAATGACAGTCCTAATAAGTATCAGTTTAGAAATGTCTCAGGAAGAGGCATTCAAAGTTGCTTTTTTTCCAATTTCCCAGAAGCATAGTCTGTCGCCCCCCTGTAAACACCCATGTCCCTGCCCTAGTGTGAGATAATCCCAGGGGAACTGAGCTAAACTGCAAATCTGGATTATCAAGGTTTAGTGCAAGCTGATCCCTGTGAGTATTTAATCCCCTGCAAATTGAGAGAGAGAGAGAGAGAGAGAGAGAGAGAGAGAGAGAGAGAGAGAGAGAGAGAGAATGAGAATGAGAGAATTCCCTAAATCCCTAGCCCAAGCCAAGTGACTGCACCATCATTATTTCTGGAAGCCCTCTGCTGCTGTATTGATCTGTCCCAGGCTCCTCCAGGCCTGTCTCTACCTTAGGGGGTTTGTGAACTTCATCCTTCATGTACCAACATGGATCTTGACCCTTCAGTTGCTTTATCATTCAAGATAAAGTATTTGTGTCAGGTCTTTCTTGCACTAAAGTCCAATATCTAGAAATATAAAATATGTCATCTGATTCTTGATCCAATAGCCTCAATTTACACGACTGAAATAAAGTAAAAGTAGAAGAATATATTTTCCATCCTCTTGTCTGTGGTTACTGTTTCAGTTGTGTCACTATCCAGGGACAACTTGGATTTTCTTTTAGTGCTTCTCTCTCTCTCTCTCTCTCTCTCTCTCTCTCTCTCTCTCTCTCTCTCTCTCTCTCAATATTTATGTAGCAGTTATCTCTAAATTGAAACATTTCAACCCAGAGGAAAGCTTGTTAAGATTCATGAAATCCGAAAGGAGGCCCTGTAATACTCAGAAAGTAACCTCCCCCTTCTCAGAGGTGATGGGGAGGGGAGGGGTGGTAGTGGGAGGGACTGTGTGAGTTGGGGGGGTTGTTATGAGAGAGTGGGGCTGCAATCTGGATGTAAAGTGAATAAATAATTAATTAATGGAAAAAACAAGCTACAGGAAATATTGGTCTGGAAAGATGCTTCTGCTGCTCTTCAGAGGACTGGAGCTTGATTTTCAGCATCCATATGGTGGTTTATAATCATCTAGAACTTCAATTCCAGGGTATCTTGACCTCTTTTTGGCTTCTGTGGGAGCTGCATACATACAGTTCACATATATATGTGCAGGCAAAACATCCATAAACCTTAAAAAAAGAAGACTGAGTATATGGTCTTGGATTTCCTGGGAATAACAATCTGGAGGAACATAAAGTGAGAGAGTGGTATGCTTATATCCACTAGGGCATGAGCAGCCTTCGAAAAGAGTGATTCTCTATTTATAACCAGTCAATGGCTCTTCTAGTGGTGGTGGTACCTCAGGTGCCCTCCTCCCATCCCTACCTATGCTGGAGTTCTGACTGGATTGATCTTATGCAGGTAACCATAGCTACTATGAATTGATGTAGTTAACAGCCTTGTTGTGCCCAGAAATCAGTATTTCACAGCTCTACTACCCATCCTTTCTCTTCTATTATATTCCTTGAGCTTTGAATAGTTGATACAGATAGCTCATCCACTGCTGGGCACTCATAGTTATACCCAGAACTTTGGCAAGTTATGAGCCTGTGCATTAATCACTATCCACCCAAGCAAGAAGAAGCTTCTCTGACCAAAGTTAAAGAAAAAAAAACAAAAAAGAAGAAAAAATCTATTTATAATTACAAAAATTTAGGATGTCGTTTAACAGCATGATGATTTTGTGAAACAACAGTAGGTTTCCTTCTAGAGCTTGTGAGTTCCCCAGTCATGGGCTTTTGACCAGGCCTACCAGGAATAGATTCCCTCCTATGGTATAGGTTTCTTAATCTATCAGGAAGCAGTTGATTACTGTCATAGCTGTCATGCCACTATTGAGCCTCTGAGCAGATCAGTATTGTAGCAATAGAGTTTATTAGTAACAGTAAAAAGAGGACATGAAGTTGAGAAGGAAATGGGGTGGAGTCACTAACGAATGTTAGAGGGAGAAAGTGATAGATGGAGATGATCATTAGACACTGAAAAGATGCTTGACGCTATCAAAGAATAAAGTGTTTTATTTAAATAAAAGTAACACACACAGACACAGACACAGACACAGACACACACACACACACACACACACACACACACACACACACAAAGAACTCCATATCCACCATGTCTTTTGTTCAAACAGAGTTGATGGTTATACCACACTTTTCTTCTGACCTTGACATACAAAAGTCTACTTGGTGAAGCACTATTGTTAAATACTGAGACTGAAACATGGGACGCATGGGATGGAGGCTTTCCTTTCTCAGATGGGCTTAATTCAGGAAGTAGGATGTCAAACATTCATGGTCATATACTTAAAAATCATAAACTTAAAAATAAAATCCACAGTCAGCAGAGGGTTAGTTTTAAGATTAATTTGTTTTATGTATATAAGTACACTGTAGCTGTCTTCAGACACACAGAAGAGGGCATCAGATCCCATTACAGATGGTTGTAAGCCACCATATGGTGGCTGGGAATTGAACTCAGGACCTCTGGAAGAACTGTCAGTGCTCTTAACCACTGAACCATCTCTCCAGCCTGAGGGTTAGTTTTATAAAGTATTAGTCTCAAAAGAAGGCTCATAGAAGAAAGATTTAAAGAGTTACTGCAGTGTGAAAACAAGCTAAGATCCTAGGGTCAGTTCAAGGGGACCTCAGTGAGTTGCTTTGATCTGGTACTCAGAGGCTTTTTATAGGCCTAGGCAGTAGAAACTTGATAAAAGGTAAAGTATTTTTTCTTCAAATTAGATTTTGAGTATATTGTGGCTGAGCCAACTGCAGAATCTCACAGTTTATGTATGTCACCTGTAGGACAACATGATTTCTGGTTGAGGACTGTTGTGGATAGTCCCAGCCTTGTATTTTGATACTAGTTCCCCTTTCCTGTGAAGGGCTGCAGAGGAGGTATGAGTCATTACACAAGTGAATTCTAGTGAACCTTCTGCCCAGCTTAATTTGTAAAATAAAGGCTGGAGCCAGTGATTGGGCAGAAGAAGGGGAGGTGGAGAAATAAAGGTTGGTGGAAGAGAGCAAAAGAGAGGACTGGAGGAAGACAATGGAGGAGGAAGATGACGAAGGAGAGGATGACTGGGAAGCAGGAGGTAGAAGGACAGTCACAGGGTCTGGAAAATCCTCAAGTTATAAGAGTCTCATAGCTGGGGAACAGAGTAGTGTAGGGGTATCTGCCATATCTAGGCTTACAGAATATATTCATAATTACTGAGTTGTGTTTTCATTGAAGGGTCATATTTGTGTTGGAGATTTAAATGTCTCCCACTACAGAAGACCAGCTAGAAATTGCCAGAGACCCCAGGTGATCCTAAGGGACGGCATGCGTTTCTCTAGACTCCCAGACTCCAGGCTCCTGACACAAAGCCGAAGACCTCCATAGAGTGGAGTCCTCCAGTCACATAAGACAATGCCCCCTAGCCCTTCCACAGGTAGAGGGCATCAATATAGGCCACAGAGCCTCAAGATAGATCTCCACATTAATGAGATACCTAAAGGCCAGAAGGGCATAGCCAATTAAACATTCCTTCCCAGACACTCCTCCTTGCAAAAGGTATTTAACCTCAGGCCCATCCTGAGAATCCGGGGTATAGTTTTCATCCATTTTCCTCCATGACAATAAATATCTTAAGAGCATGGATTAATTTTCTTCTTCAGGGCCTGCCATGGGGAACAGTGGAGCAGGCCTTCGTCTATAGAGCTGTTGTCTAATCTCCCGCAGAACTCTCTGCATTTCCAGCCATGGAGACCACCAACCTGAGCAAGCAAGCTGAGCCAACCATGACTCAGCCAAGTGAGTCACTGTGATCGAGAACTCTCATCCCTGCAGGACACAGTCAGAGCTTCTCCCCTTATCCCCTTTGGCTGCAGGCAAATTCAGACTGTATGTCCCCACTTCATTCTTAGCCCTTCCATGGTCCCCCAGTGGTGCCTGGGAGTCCAAGGGCCTGAGAACCAGCCAATTCCTGGTGGCCTTTGGCCTGGGGATCCCCCAAGCCAAGAGCTCTAGCTCCCTGGGGGACCTCAGACTCCTTCAGAGGGGAGTCCTGTGGTTTCACATAGCCTGATGTACACCTGGCGTCAACGTGTAGTGGACACAGTCAAATTCCCTGAGCCTTTGTCCCCATGAGAGGCCCTAGCCATGTAGCAAGACAGAGGTGGAACCCACACATCAACCCAAGAACAGGTCCCATGTGCACTACAACCCAACAGTTCCCCTGGCCCAACCAGCGTGACTATAATCTATACTTCTGTGCTTGTTAGTTTTTGGCAACTTGATACAAGCTACAGTTATCTAGGAAGAAAAAGCCTCATATTAGAAAATGTCCCCAACTGATTGGCCTGTAGGTAAGTCTTTGGGAGCATTTAATTGACTAATTATTGATGCAAGAGGGTCCAGCTTACTGTAGGTAGTAACACTCCTGAGCATGTGATCCCGAATTGTATTAAAAAAGCAGGCTGAGAAAAACATGGGGAACAAGCCATGGTTTGTGTTTCTCTATGGCCTCTGCTTTAGTTCCTGCCTCCAGGTTCATGCTTGAGTTCCTACCCTGACTTCCCTCAGTGATGGAGAGTAACCTGAAAGTTGAAAGCTGAAATAAGCCCTTTTCTTCCCAGGTTGCCTTTGATCATGTTCTTTATCATAGCAATAGAGAGCAAGGTAAAACAATGCTCACATGAATTGGAGTAATCTATGACCAACTTTGTAGATCTCAGGAGCTTGAAATTAAAGGAAACAAAGCAAGAACAGCAAACCTCACCCTGATGTACAGATTGATGTAGGAGTTAAGTTACATTAATGTTTGAAATAGACTTAAGAGTTTTCATAGTGTAAAACTATTAACTTTATCAGTCCATCTATTTAATTCATTGTTACAAACAGTGAAGGCCATGTGTGTGTCAATTTGTATTGATGATATAATTTAAAGCTGAGAGCAGTCATAGAGAAAGATATAGATAGATTTGGATAGAATGTTAAAATAAACATTAGAAGTGAGTGATGGTATAATGGAAGGATAAGGTTGATTTAGAATTATGAAAATACATGATTTAAGGGTCTATCTAGGACACGAATTCTAGATATGATTAACATCTTTTGAATGATAAAGAAAGAACATAATTACATTTTATGCAAAAATGAGTTTGTCCATGGATAAGTACCTTGTACACACTTATATTTCTATGTAGGCAACAGCACATAATGAGAGAGCACCATAAACAATTTGTACTAGAATTCAAATTCTAACTCTGACACAGCCTAGAGGTATGACCTTGGATAGGCCTTAATTTTACTGGGAACATTTATTGGATGAAGAGGATGTGACTACATCTCCTAGAGATGCATGGGTATCTTAATGCATCGATAGACTTGTTAAGATTTGATCACAAGATCAGAGACCAACACCAGAGAGCACTGAATAAACGTTCTTCCTTACAAAGTCAGGATAAGCCATCTATCAAGATTGCATATTAAATTGGACATCTTTATCATCTCCTCCACCCCTCTCCAAGGCCTAGGGATCATTACAGAAGAGGGGGTTAAGAGAAGGGGTGGAAGTCTGCAGAGAGAAATGTTGTATTGACTGAGATACAGGTGGTTGTGAGCCACTGTATGGGTGCTGGAAACTGAACTCTAGTCTTCTGCAAGAACAGCCAGAGCTCTTAAACTCTGAATCATCTCTTCAGCCATTTATTCCCACTTATTAACTATCTAAACTAAGAGACAGTATGATAGTCTTGATTAGTCTTAAATATTATATCTTTACTTCTAGAGCACTATTTTAATACTATCATTATTAACATAGTATCAGCATCCCTATTTTAAATATGTGATATTCCAAACTCTAAGATGATTATAGCACCAACATGGCTCACAGGAAAATACCACAACAGAAAACATTTAATGGGCCATGCATGTCCTTTTCGGTCTGCATTATCTCACTTAGGATATTTTCTAGGTTCATTCATTTACCTGCAAAATTCATGATGTTTTTATTTTTAATAGCTGAATAGTATTTCATTGTGAAAGTGAAACACATTTTCTATATCCATTCTTCTGTTGTGGGGCATCTTGTTTGCTTCTAATTTCTGGCTATTACAAATAAGGCTGCTATGAATATAATGAAGCATGTGTCCTTGTCACATGGGATCCATCCCATGGGTGGGCACCAAACCCTGACACTATTACTGGTGCTATGCTGTACTTGAAGGAGACTAGCATGGCTGTCCTCTGAAAGGCTCTATCTGACTGAGACAGTTGCAGATACTGCCAACCATTGGGCTGAGGTCAGGGATCCCTATAGAAGAGTTAGGGGAAGGATTGAAGGAGATGAAGGTGATAGCAACCCCATAGGAAGACCAACATTGTCAACTAACTTGACACCTATGAGTTTCTAGAGACCAAGCCACCAACTAAAGAGCAAATATGGGCTGGTTTGTGTCCCCGCTACATATGTAGCAAAGGACTACCTAGTCTGGGTTCAGTGGGAAAGGGTGTGCCTAATCCTGTAGATACTTGATGGCCCAGAATAGGTGGATGCCTGGTAGGGGGGAGTACCCTCTCAGAGGCAAAAGAGGGGGAATGGGGTGAAGAATTCTGAGAGGGGGGATGTAGAGGGTGGCAATATTAGGAATGTAAATAAATAAAGTAATTAAAAACTTGTCCAAAAGTACATGTTCATATCTAAGGAGAAAGGTCATGTCATTTCAACATTGACGTGGTCCCTTTGGAAATCTGTCCTATTGAAAGCCTGCAGATAGAAGGATGCCACTGTAAGAAATTAATTTCATAGCACCCCATCACTCACCTTTTACTATTAACTCTAAAGATTGAGGTGAGTGAACTCGAAGGGGAAAGTCTATTGAATCTGTTGCAAGTGGAGAGAAACCTTCCCATGTAGAAGACAGGAAAGACACAACTCTGTTCTCTGAAAGATGAATCAGAAGAGAATCCTGACAACACATAAGATGAGGACACACCTTAATTTAAAATCTGCATTTCTCAAATTCAGAGCCTGAAATTCCAGCCCTGTGCTGAACTTAGTGGCTTGTGTTTATGATACTCAGTTCTCCAGAGGTTGATGTAAAGAGGATTGCTATAGTTCAAGGCCACTTTAGGCTACATAGTAAGTTTTTGGCCAGCATGGTGGGACCCTGTCCCAAAAAGTCAAGATATCTACATATATTAGTCAATTAAAAACACAAACATCAAATCATAGTCCTTAAAGTAAAACCACTAGAACATAAAACAACTGAGAAGTTGTGAGGGTAAGTCTATCACAAATAGAAGTATAATCTTTATAAAAAAAAAGACCCATGTGACTACACCCTAGGATTACATGAGATTTGTCATCTGAACCATGAATAAAGGCGCTCTTCAAACTCTGAATCATCCAGTGTCTTAGTTTGTATGTGTCAGCCTCAAGGTATGAGGAACACATTTCCTCCTCCTCCTCCTCCTCCTCCTCCCCCTCCTCCTCCTCCCCCTCCTCCCCCTCCTCCCCCTCCTCCTCCTCTCCTTCTTCCTCCTCCTCTCCTTCTTCCTCCTCCTCCTCCTTCTCCTCCTCCTCCTCCTCCTTCTCCTCCTCCTTCTCTCTTTCCCTCC